TCTGGTGGTCGGGATCACTTCTGGATTCTGGATCTGGTCCGGGAAGACTGTTGATTCCTGTCGGAGATTTTATGGGCGACTATGTGGGAACAAATCTCGGAGTGTTCAACAAAGCAGAACTTTAAAGCAAATCAACACGGCAAATCACGTGGGACACGTAGCTCCACCTAACAAACAGTTACCTCTAGCCCACGTTTGAAGATAATGCTCGTGATTTTCAGAGGAGGTAAAAATCGCAACAAACAAGAGATAATGGACGAACAGTTTGTATTTTCACAATGAACACCAAATTCAAGATGAGATGAGGGATGAAAGAAATATAATACTATGTATAGATTAAGAAAGTTAACTATATATATGATGTTCAGGTGAGTTGAAATGGTTTGTTTTATCATATATGGAAACGTACGAGCGAAAATATTTCAGTTGAAACGTTTTGTCACGAGATTCTCCTGAACATTTTCCCAAGCCTCCATATCTGTCTCAGAAAGACAAAATAATCGCTAAAGAAAAGAAAAATTCTGTAAATAGTTTTCACTTACTAGGTTTCTAAATTTGTACACTTCTATTAAACTGTGTATATAATATCACTAGAAACTACGATACCTCTTAGGCTTAACTGGCAGTTGAAGATTGACTTTATTGTTCATCTTTGTCACTAAATTGTTAAGTTATTTGTGACCACGCAATGAAAGGTGGAGAAAGTAGGCCTCAGTAAAGGATTCAACACACTGAAAATACTAAAAGGTAATTGGACGATTTGATTTTATTAATCTGTCAACTACATTCGTACGTATTATTGTTACAACAAAGAACGAAACAGAAATCTGTGAAAGTGATCACCGAAGACTAACAGTTCAGTTTGTTCCAATTCGAATACTTAATTAACTTCAACAGTTACGTTTTAACGTAGCGTGTTGGAAGTTCGAACCCTCCGAGATGAAGATTACTCTCTCTTGGCTAATTATTTGTTTAGGAAGTTGAAATAGTTACCAGGATTATAGACTTCGGCCCCTTTTTAAAATTTGAAATTGATGGCGCTAAGTCTGTCAGTGTTCAGTGTAAGTTTAGTCAACGTTTTCCAAAGGGTAAACAGTAAAGTATTCGGGTAGTCAAGACATTTTATAATAAATCTGGAAAGTGTCCAATTGGTCCAGAACTTCATATAAAGAAAGTGTCATATTAGTTAAGCAATTCGTATTCTGTATGTAATCAATCTATAAAGAATCCCATTGATAGAAATACATAAAATCTGAAAAGTGTCTAACTGGTTAAGAAATTCATGTTATATCCAGAAAGTATTCGATTGTCGGGACATTCTTATTAAATCTCGAAATTATCCAGTTGGTCGAGAAATTCTTATTAAATCTAGAAAGTATTCAATTGGTCGAAAAATTCTTATTAAATCTAGAAAGTATTCAATTGGTCGAAAAATTCTTATTAAATCTTTATTTGCTATTTGACGCTAAAAGAACTCCCACGGTTACTATGGTTACGATCATACATGGTTACTCAAATATTGATATTGGTCTTGCTTAACTCTGTTACTGAGGGGTGTATGTCGCTAGATGTGATAGTACAAGTCTTGCTAACAACTGATGTTTATTCTTACATAAATACAAGACAGTTATATTATGTAGCGAGTGGTTAAAAGTATTTGTAAATCATAGAATGTGTCGCCATTAAATACAATTTAAGTACGTGAAATATTACGAAATTTCAGGGGCACTGCCAAATGTAATCGGGGCACGAGACCCTTGTGCCAGTGCCTAGCGACGCCTCTGCTTGTTTTAGAAAAAGATAATATTATTTATTGATTATTCTTACCGTCACTAACGGGATTGTTTGTTTATCTTATCCGATTAAATTGTAATTGAAGGAAATATTCATTAATAATTTTTACAAGTGTTTGCTTTGTAGTTTTTCATATCCCCAAATTCTTGCTTGCTTATTTTGTAAATTTGTTTGTTATTTTCTGGAATTTGGTAAGCCTTTGATACAAAAGCTCCCTCGTGTGATAATATCTGCAAGCATATCAGGCTGTTTTAAAGTAATGAAATATTGTTTTTTAATGCTTCTTTTTTTTTTGGGAGGGGGGAGCTGAAGAAACTAACAATTCAAATAATAGCCGACGCAAATCTGAGAAAGTATATCACAGAGCGCCACCTATCGACAAAATGTAGAAAACATAAAGAGGCTGTAAAACGTTTTACGACCATGAAATGCTCTTTTGAACTACGTAACGCAAATTTATGAGAATGGGCACGAGCGTTGGAGCCGTGTATGCCACGCGAGTTTTACTATGTGTTTGGAGTGTTAACAACAACCGTTTCTTTATTTATCGTTTTGTCAATTCTAAATGTAGGTGTTGAAACATGTAATATATATATATATCCCAAATCAGGAGGAAATGGGTTAAAAACGCTTAAGTGGTCTTAGTATGTTGCCTATTGGGGGTAAAAATTTAGGGGTTTTTAACTCCTCGTTTGGATTGCACAGACTTGCCCTTATAAAGCAGATGATACTATAAATATCTTCGACGCACCTTTCCTCCTCACCCCCCCCCCCTAAAGAAAAAGGTGTCAAAAACAGATTATGTTTCTTTAACGGAATATTCTTAAGTCGTTTGAACTAAATATTCATTTGATTGTGTGAAGTGAGAGAAGAATCCCTGTATTTTCCGTTGTTCATAGTATGTTCTTTGTACAGGGATTCTGATAAAGTCATTAAATTTGATACTCTTCGTACAGGGATTCCGATAAAGTCCCGGGTTTTGGATTTTTTACAGGGATTTTTGTTAAAGTCATGGAATTAGGGTATTCTTTGTATAGGGATTCTGATAAAGTCCTAGGATTAGGATTTTTTACGGGAATTCGGATAAAATCTTGGGATTGGGATTTTCTTTACATGGATTCTAATAAATCATGGAATTAGTTAGAATATCATTTATGCTGGGAAGTTGTTAAAGCCATGGAAATAGGACATTCTTCGTACAGGGATTTTAATAAAATCATGGAATTATGATATTTTTCTTACAGAGATTCTGTTGAAATCGTGTAATTAGTTAGGATATCATTCGTACAGGAATTCTAATAACTCATGCAATTAGGACATTATTCTTACAGGGATTCTGATAAAGTCATGGAATTAATCACTTTACTACAACTTTCTAAGCTTTATCACTTAACCCAGAGGCGCGAAAAACGTGCGCTTTCTGTAATTTATCGAGTTTTTTAAAAATTAAAATATTGTTGTTGTAAAATGGCGCTGTACTATGTCGAGGTTTTTTTTTAATTAAAATATTATTGTTGTAAAATGGCGCTGTACTATGTTGTGTTTTTTTAACTTAAAATATTATTATTGTATGATGGCGCTACCTGTAACTTGTCGAGATTTTTTTTTAATTAAAATATTATTGTTGTAAAATGGCGCTGTACTATGTTGTGTTTTTTTATCTTAAAATATTATTATTGTATGATGGCGCTACCTGTAACTTGTCGAGATTTTTTAAAATTAAAATATTATTGTTGTAAAATGGCGCTGTACAATGTCGTTTTTTTAACTTACAATATTATCGTTGTATGATGGCGCTACCTGTAACTTGTCGAGATATTTTTGTTTTAACGTATAATGGTACTGTTGTAAAATGAATTAGCATTCCCTCGAAGCACATTTATCACGTTGATTGTATGATTCGTATTCAGCCTGGCTGTGATCATACATACTAAAAACAGATGAATAGATAAATGACTTCTATGGTACTTCTAAGTAGTTCCCTTTTTTTCTGTAGCGAATCGCAATCTTTTCTGAATTTCCTTGGTGTGTGGGAAAAAAATAATTATTGCTGGACGTATCCGAATTAATCGTAACCTATTTATATCTTATCTTTGTATACTAATTGGACTATAATTTTTATATAAATACAACGTTGTTTGTCTTCAATGACAGTAATCGGTAACCGTGGTTGTGTTTTATGGAAGAAACAGGGTGTGCGTGTGTGTTACGTGTAATGTTTTTAGGGTTAAAATCCTATCTCAACTAACTGTAGGGACTATTAATATATAAATATTTCACGTGGTTATTATAAGTAATAGTAGCAACCGTGTATATTAGGTGCGCCGTCAATGCTGCGTTGCTTGAGTTTGTGCGCATGTTGTATCATGTGTGTGCTTACTGTTCTTTTTACCATAATATACGGAAGTCAAATTTGGAAGAAGTTTGTGAA